AACAGTCGTGCGTTCAGCTAAGCGTACGACATCGATCTTTTGGGTGAGAGTCGGTCGGTGTCGAGGCTTCGTTGGCAGCACTGTGGCTGCAGGTTGCACTGACATTCAAGGTTATTAAGTAGTGGGGTGGAAAGCTGTTTAAATTGTGCCGGGAAAAATTTCGCCAATCATTGTCGAGGTAACGATATCGATGATTATTATTGGCTGATTTGAAAATTTATTCCCGCGCCGTTACTCAGCGTCGTTCCCTGTACGATTAACCCGATGTTTATTGGAGTGTCCTATGTCGGCCAACTTCATGTCTTTGGTGTGTTTATTCGTCGGACTACTGTTTGTAACGTTATTTCATTTGTACTCATGTCATCGTATTCCTGATGGAACGACGACATCGTTGTAAATATATACCACCGTACTAGTATATATGTATGTATAGATAGATAAAATGGCCGCTTCGACAAATATATCCGACAATTATCTGATTGGTTAAAAGTAGACGCCTATTGGCTTTCATTGGCGGATGTCACTTCCATGTCAATACAACGACCAAGTAAAGTATCTTCGTTTTTTCGGATGTATCGACGTACAGAGTTCTGTTACACTGTACACGTACACTATTATAGTACGTTCAATATTACGTGGAGGAATTACCTTGGTTACTTTGCGCAACACAAGCCACTCATCAGGCATACTTACCTCGTTCCTTGCTCGCCAACGACACCGAAGTACAGTAAACACTCCGTGGACATCGTAGCGAGCGTGACCATTCACTGTAAAGAACCCTACCGCTGAAGTGCACTTCTAGATATACATTGATAACTCACTGGTGCACGAGTTTGCCACCATAGAATATGTAAGTTTGTGAGCTAGTAATTACTTCCCATCGTCTCAATCAACTCTGTGATGAGTGTTTTGTGATACCTGCGAGGTCGTTCGCAACAATATAAGTGATCTTAGTAGTTGTAGCATTGAAAATATGATTATTTAGTGTTGTGGTGGAAGGGGGCACACATAGAAGGGAGGTCGCAGTCAGTGTTATAAGCATCCCCACTGTGCAGATGCTAGCAGTGGGGATGCTTGTAAACACTGTGTGCTAACAAGTACGGTGGTTCACGTTGCGAAAGTACGTGGATATGCAGAGCTGGAGAACGTGGTTAGTGTCGTTTGTTGAATGAGGGGCAATTGGAATCACTTCTGGAGGTAAGATGGTATTGGCGTAGCTACAGTAATGTTCAATCAGGACCTACCTAAAGCGCAACCATTACTCTTAGCCGCATTCGTACGTTTAAAAGTCGCAAACGTTATTGTGTGGAATGGGCTACAAAAGTATCCCACCATTGGTCCCCATGCATCGTGGTGGGACTACAACAGTACTCCTGCTGGTTCGTGCCGTTACTTACTGTACACCGTTTCGTGTGCAATGTCGGCTCGGC